CCCATCAATAGGGATGCTCCAGACAATTCCCCCCAGCTCCCCAGCCTTGCACCCCAGAACTGTATTGTCCTGCACTGGTCAGAAGCCTGGCCAATATAAGTTCATTACCCAGTCCGCCCCCTCCCTTGATGTGGAGAGGACATGCACTAGCCTTCGTAAACTGAGCTGAGATTTTCCAAGCACTTCAACCAAAACACACAGTTTTAGATTAAATTTCAAACAGATTTATTGACTACAGAAAGACAGATTTTAAGTGGTTATAAGTAGCAAATGTAGAGATCAAAGCTGGTTACATAAGAAATTAAAATAAATTTGCAGGCTAAGTTCTACAAACTAAAGAGGATTTGAATCAAGCAGTGTCTCACCCTGACAGATGGTCTAGTTCCTCAATACACAGGCTGGGCCTCTTTTCCAGCCTGGGACCCCCTTCTGTTATAGTTTCTTCCAGCTTGCTGTACAAATCTTTTGCTGTGACATGGGGGTTACTCAGTCCCCATTGGTCAAGCAGTCTCCACTGTACACAATCTCTGGATAGTGGATTCTTTCCTTAATGGGTATTGATAAGCCATTATCCGCTGTCTGGCTACTCCATTGTTGTACCTGAAAGGCTAGTTGTGGTGTTCCCAACCCAACAACATATTTCAGTAACACATATAGCAATAATTCATAACTTCACATACAATAACACACACAGTCCAGCAGATCAAGACTTTTAAAATGATACCTCACAAGGCATACTTTGTACAAAACATATCATAATGATCTGACAGTGGTGAATATGGGGGTTCCAGGGTGCAGCTTTGAGGTACAGAGGCCTTACATTCAACTCAATGCATTTCACCTCTCTCTGTCTGTAACACAATAATGTTTCAATGCTGCATCGGATCAATTCCAACACTTCAGCGAATGTTCTAGGCATCAGCGGGCAGAACTGGCCTGATTGTGTCAGAAATCTGGAAGCAGGAAATGGGAGACACTTGGGGCCCCTGGCACTGGGTGGGCAAATGGGGGACCTTGATGAAAGAGTTGGGGGTAACTGCACCTTTAATCCCCTCTGTGATCTATTGAGAAGCCACCTACAGCAGTGGGAGGGGTAATAACTCCTCATGGGGAAGCCCCTGCCCTAGCCAGTTTGGTTCCGGTGAACTGGGCAGGGATTTTGCAGGAGGCCTCCACACGCCCTGCCGGGACAGTGGATGGTATTTACACCTGTTGGTGAAAGTCTCCCTCTAACTCCTCCCAGCTGCGAGTGATGCAGACTCAGCAGAAATTCTGCCCACAGTTCAAAATCGAGGCAGACTGGGCAGGTGAGAGCCTCCTAGAGATGGAGCAGGAGTGGGGTGGGGGGCTGCAGCAGCCAGGGCACCTGGGAGAGGAACAGGGAGGGGAAATTCAGTCTCATTCATTCATTTCACAACAATGGGCCTCACCTCATGACACTAGCTACAGGCAGAACAGCCAGAAGCCCTGAGCCCTGGCACTTTAGGCCTGTACACAATTGATTCTGCTTCCCCCAGGATCTCTCCTTAGACTCTCTCCTGTTGCACTGTGTGTTCCAGTGCGACTCACCAGGGGCTCTTGCTTAGGGGGCCTGGCCCTGCAGAGACCTGTCACCAGCAGGGGCAGCTCCTCCTTGGGGGAGGGTGGAGTGAAGTCCCAGCAGGAATGTAACTGCTGTGCAGTGCCCCTGACATACTGTGGGGGGCAGCACCGCCTGCTGCCAACTGGGGAATCCTGGAGGCTGCAATACACCAGGCTGCTACCGATGCCTGTGCGTGACTCAGCCTACAGGCAGCACAGGGAGAGGCCCAGAGCAGGGCACAGAGGTGGCTGTGAGGCTGTTTCAGCTCATACGCACTGGGAGGTCTTGGGGGCCTTGGTGATGCAGGGTTCCAGAGGCAACATGGAATAATGGGGTGCCCAGCGCTGGCCCCGGGGGAATGGTTCCCCAACCCCACAGATCTCACTGCCAGGACGTTTCCCCGGCGACTCAGCCTCACTTTCCCTTTTGTTAATTTCTCCCCATCCCCCCGCTGCTTTTGCCCCTAAATTCTTTATGTACAGCACCAGGAACAATAGAAACCCTCCACCACCCCCCACCCCACCCCCGATGGTGGCCACAGAAAATACTGACTCTAGGACCAATTCTCAATACACATCTCACACTCCCCATGAGACCTCCTGTTCTCAGTCATATCTCTGACCACAGTCCTGCATGTCTGGATGGGTCCCTCCACAGCTGGGATGGGCAAATCCCCTCATGCAGCCCCCTCCCCCCACAGCTAGGATGGGGAACTCTGGAAAGTCTGGAAGATGCATCCACATTAGCACTGTCCTCCCCCTTCCTCAGATGCAGTTGGTGGGGACAGAAATGAGGACACCCCAGTAGGGGATTCATACAGGATTTCATGCAAGGCAAATGTCCTGCTTGGATTGGACTTAACTTTACAACCCCTGCAATGAAGTGGACCTGAGCGGATGGCTCCCCATTAAATCAAACACTTTGCATCTTTCCCCATGTTAAATACATCTGAAGTGTTTTTAAACATTAGCCAAGCTAATTGTTTATCATTATCTGTATTTATTATTGCTGCACAATAAAGCCTCTAATCAGCTATAACACGTGCCCCTGTGAACTAATGGATGACATAGTGCAGCAATGACTTCTATTCACCGTTGTGCTGGCACAGCGTCAGGGGCAGCAGATTTGTATAATTTTTGGTGGTGCCCAGAACGGGTCCATGTCCTGCCAGCGCCCCCCCCCCCCCCCACACACACCTGCCTTGTAAGCCGATCTATATTTTTTAAAATAATGTATAAATGGACTGGAAACAGTAAGCGCTTAACAGTTTCCCTCTATTGCACAGTATCACTATCATCAGAAAAAATTGTTTAACTAAGAATATCAACTTGATTAATACTCTTTTGAATACGGAAACAACCCAACACTCTTAGAGCAATAACCCTCAAAAGCAAATACTTTCTAAAACTAAAACAAAATGTAGCCCCTTCTTTTGCAATGTTCTTCAGGAGGCAGCAAACACTTTTCATCGTTGTTCAGTGGGGGATGGGGCTGCCCCTTGCCCAGACAGGGGCAGGAATGGTGACTGTGGAGGGAGGGGGGACAGGGTGTCATGACACTCACCCAAGCCCCAGCTGCTCAGGTCCAGGAAGCCCCCTCGCTTCCCTTGGGGTGGATGCGCCCCTCACCGTAGCCTCATGGGGTGGGGGATGGGGCTGCCCCTTGCCAAGCCTGGGGCAGGAGTGGTCACTGCGGGCGGAGGGCAGGGTGTCATGAGTCCGACACTCACCCAAGCCCCAGCTGCTCAGGTCCAGATTCCCGGAAGCCCCCTCGGAGTCAGAGTTGTCTCCCTGTGGGTGCTGGGGGGAGGGGGGAACTGCCATAACATGTGCGCCTCCTCTCCTCCTCCCTCTGCAGGTGCAGTAGCTGCCTCAGCCTGCCACCAGCGCCGGTCCCTTTCTTGTGAGGTAGCGCAGCACGGAGTGGCAGGGCAGCCACACGCTGCACAGGGTGGAGGTAGCGATGCTCCAGGGGAGCTGCGTGGCGGTGGCAGGTGGGGCTGTGGGAGAGACCCGGCCCCAAACATTGGTGGAGTTGGGCCCCCGGGCCTTGAGTATTGCTGGAGCACAGGCACCACGGGCCCATATAACTCATGGCCCCTGCACAGCGTATTTATGCAAGTTTTCAGTTGCAGAAGTTTGGCCTGTATTTATTTACTTCTGAAAAACACCAAAAGTTAGATTCTGACTGTGTGGAGACATCAACTATTATAGAAACCACATGATAACATTTACTTTGCTTACTATATATGGGATTATAACAAAAATGTCACAGGAAAGATCCAAATGATAACTCTAGCCTGTGTTCTTGCACATAGGTTGTTAATCCCTGGGAATTGCTGGGAGCAGATTGAATCGGGCTCTATCCAGTCCCACAGAAGCGATACCAGTATGTACTGACAGCTACAGATGATTTTTCAAAATAGGTAGAAGAATTTCCACTTAGAACTGTGACAGCACATGAGGTAGAGAAGACGACACGTACAATTATATATCAACATGGATGTCCAGAGCAGACACTGGCAGATCTAGGTTCTGAACTGAATCATGAGGTAACAGTTTACATTGGGTGTTATTTTCACTCTATGGTCAATTACACAATCATGGCAGTGTGACGGGGGCTGTTAGCAGCTACAAACAGAGCCCTTTGGAAGCCAGCACCCTGGTCACTGAGAACACCCAGGGCACGGGGTGCAGTTAGAGAAGGAGGGACTGAGTAGTTTGGGTTTGGAAGGGCAGAGGGGATCACTTGCACCTGTAGGGAGCCTGATGGGATCACTAGCTCAGTGCTGAGAAGAAAGCAGCCATATAAAAGTCTGAATCAGGGAGCAGGAAGGGGGCTCCTCGTAACTGCTGCTATGTTCTGATGCATCATAAAAAGTCATAAAGACACTTGGTGGAAGTTCCCTGGCAGACTGCCTGCTGCTTAATTCACAGAGAGCTCTGCCAGCCAGGGGTTGCAGGAACTGATGGGGGAGCCCATTCATAGTTAGAAATTTAAAAATGAACATTGCCTGCAATCTCTTCATGATAATTCATGCTATCAATTGTGAGTGACAACACATTTTTATGTCTTGTCAGATAGTAAAAACCATGCTGTATATTAACCTATTTGCCAACATATTTCCCCATGTAATAACACAATAAGATTGGATAAGAAAGCACAGTAATTACACATAATTCAGTGAGAAATAGAGAAAGGAACGCAGATATTTCTGAAGGAAATTTTATGGAAAAATTATCTATTTTTAGATTAAAATTTTCCTGTGTTAAATACTAGGAAGAACACATCGCTTCAGGAGCCCATTCCACCTAGACACCAGCAGACTGGATAAAAAGCACAAATGAATCTATCAAAAGATAATTTTAGGGTATTTATTTTCAAATAATCAAAGTAAGTTTAGGACACTCTGCCAAGGATGGCATATTGTGAATAAATCTTCAAAACTGAATTATTACATTGAAAATGTTCATAACACATCATGTTTAAAACAAAAAGTAGTCCCAGCAATGCCATGTGATGTGCCTCCCCTCAGACTCTGTTCAGCTAGATCTTCAAGAAATTAAGCTCAATCACTGATTTCGAGGAATTAGACCAATCGGTCACTATTTTTACAGAGCATTGCAGAAAGTGGTGGACAGAACCCAGAGGAATTGTGATGAATTTCCTGGAGCAACTTCATTTTCTTTGTACTCTAAACCTCACACGACAACAAAAATATCACCCTTTCAACTGATTTATGGCCTAGAAGAAAGGTTTGCCAAATTTCATGTTATGTGTCATTAAGGGCCAGCGTCTTTAATACAATTAAGTTAATTTGTGATGATTGAGTAAAGGAATACAGCTCCTTCTCTATTTCTTTACCAAAGTTCATTTGTTGTGTCCTTATAACCAAGAACATGAAGAGCCTGACAGTACATTGAAATCAATCGTGCACAGTGACAGTACATTGCCTGCAAATAATATTTCTAAAGAAAAATAAACTAAAAAATGGAGATTGTAGAAGAGATTTCTATCTATAGGAAGAGAGCATTTGAGGTTGGGGACCCTGTTTTGTTAATTGATGTGAGTAAAAGAAAGGAAGGGTCATATCTTGATTACCAATTATATGTAGCTAGAAAGTTAAAAATCACATGAATTAATGCTGACAGGAGTTCAAAGAATATTATATAATCTTCTGTGAGTTAACTTAAATATATTGCTCAATTAATTCCATCATTTTTTCAACTATTAATTTTCAAAGGTGTAGTGCAGAAGGTGAGCATATGTGCCCTGCCTTCCAGAGAGAACCAGTCAAGACAATAAAGAGAGAGGGAGAAAAAACAGAGAGCAGCTGCACATGTGTGTAGTTGTGATGTTTATGACACACGTACATTGTAACTGAGCAACCCAGTCTGACAATTTAATAGTTTATTTTGTTAAGATAAATATTTTGGATTTCTTGAAATTCCACAGTTGAAATGCAATTGACGTTATTTAGAGATGTTAAACTTCACTATAGATTTGAGGGAAAAAATAAAAAGTAATGTAAATAATTCCATTTCTACAAATAGATCTATAGGCTTGTTTTTGAAATACTGTTGAAATGTAAATTAAAATATTCTTGTATTTACACCTTGGTACAATAACAATTTCTAAATTAAAATGATATTTTTTCTTTCATATTTTACATTGAGATTTCACAGGGGTAGAAAATTCTGACGGGGTAAATGTCCCCCATCCACCCCCATCTGCTACCCCTGGGGCAGGGGATGGGGAAAGGTGAGGGCGGGGGGTTCCCAGGTGTCTGGTTTTTGACTGGAAGCTCCAGTTGAAAAGGGAAACTGGCAGCGTCCGGTCAGCACAAAAAGTCCAGTTGCTGCAGTAACTGGCCCCCACCACTGGGGGTGGGAAGAGCAGCAGCGCTGGGAGGGGACAGTCTGTGGCGCGGGGTCACTGTCAGGGACAGAGATTCCCTCCGGCCTCAGCTGGGACCGGACAGATTATCAGGGGAGCCGCGTTTGTACCCCCAGCGTTGAGACCAGGATAGAAATAAGGGCGGAGCGTCCCGGAGAAGGTGTCAGTGAAAGTGAAGAGATGGGACCCGTCAGTCACATTGTAAAACGAGACCTCGCCCGCCTCATAGTCCAGGAAAATCCCCACCCGGCTGGGCCGGACGCTCACGGAGAGGGGGGTCGGGGGGGAGGTGAAGGCCGTGTATCCCCCACACATCAGCCACACGACCCAGTATCCATTCCTAGGTGTGTATGTGACATTCCCCTTCCTGCTCACAGATTCCCTACAAACCCCCAGAGTCCATCCAGTCATGTCTCCCACCTCCACCTCCCAGTAACGCCTCCCGCCCGTGAACCTCTTAGCGCCCAGGACACAGGGACAAGGATCAAATCTCTCAGGGTTATTGGGCAGATCCTGGCGTGTGTCTCCGTGTCTCACACGTTTCCGATCCTCAGACAGGACGAGTCTGGGATTTGCCGTGTCTGGATCCAGAGTCACGTCCACTGGGGAGAGAGTCACAGAGTCAGTGCCGGGGGCAGGGGCTGGTCACTGAGATCAAAGGGAAATTAACCTGCATCCCCGTTAATCGCTGGGGGGGGGGGATTGTTGTCTGAGGGGAGTCAGGGCCCGTCCAACTGTGAGGAGACAATGAGGGGAAAGGGCAGGAGGAGCGGGGGAGGGTGAGAAGCTGTCACTGGAGGTGGGGGAGGGGACAAGTAGATGCTGGGAGAGGAAAGGGGAGGGGGAGGTGACAGGAGCAGAGGGGGTGGAGGGAGGGACATGGGGGAGGGGCACGCACAAGGGCAATGGGGGGACAAGGGAAGGGACGGGCACCAGCAGGACAGAGGGGGGTGAATGGAGGGGCAGGTTCCTGGGGGCTGCAGGGCGAGAGGGGAGGGGTGGTCATGAGGGCAGAAGAAGAGGACGGACCCCAGGGGGCACAGGGAAGCAAGGGAAGGGGCGGGCACCAGGGGGCACAGGGGGTTTGAGGGAATGGGGAAGCTCCAGTGGGGCAGGGGAAATCAAGGGGAGGGTGAGATTCCAGGGGGTGAGATGATGAGGAGTGGGGCAGGTGGAAATATGGGGGGGAGCAAATGGGCAGGCACTGGTGCCAGAGTGGCAGAATGGGGGGTGAGGGAGCAGATGGGCAGAATGGGGGTTGAAGGAGCAGGTGAGCAGAAGGGGGGCAGAGAGGGGTGTGGAGAAGGCGGGACCTAGGGGGGCAGAGGGGTGTGAAGGGAAATGTGGGCACCAGGGGGGCAGAGGGAAGATGAAGGGAGGGGTGGGACTCAGAGGTTAGGAGGAGAGGTGAGGGGTGGGGCAGTGCTGAGGTGAGGGGAAGGGCTGAGACCAGGGGTCCCAAAGGGGGGTGAGGGAAGGGACTTGCACCAGGCGGGCAGAGGGGGCAAAGGAAACAGCAGGCACCAGGGAAGCAGATGGGGCAAGGGTAGAGCTGGGACTTGGGGCAGAGGAGGAGCTGGCACCAGGGGACTGGAGGGGTGGTGAGGGGTGCAGGTGTCACGGAGCCAGAGGGCGAGGAGAGAGGCAGGGGTGAGAAATAAAGAGAAGGTGGCATGGGTGATGGTGGCAGAGGGGCGAGAGGAGAGCGGGGTCAGTGGGGCAGAGGGTGGTGAGGGGGTGGGCAACAGGAAGGAAAGGGACAAGGGGAGTGTCAGGTGTTGGGGGGCAGGGGGAGGGAAGAAAGGGGTAGGCAGCAGAAGGGTGCGGGGGTAAGGGGAAGGGCAGGTGCCAGGGGATTGAGGTGGTTGAGCAGAAGGGCAGACACAGTGAGGCAGAAGCACCAGGGGGCAGAGAGGGGTGAACAGAGAGGCAGGGCAGGTGAGTAGAGGGAGGTGTTAGGAGAGGGGATTGGGGAGAGGCAGGTGCCAGGGGGTCAGAGTGGGGCTAGAGGAGGGGTGGGCACAAGAGGGTGAGGGAAGGGGTGGGTGCCAGGGGTCAGAGAGGGTGGGGAGAGGGGCAGGTGGCAGGAGGGCTGAGGGGAGTAAGAAGGGCGAAAGCCAGGACAGCAGAGGAGGGTGAGGGGTGGGGTGGCCATCAGAGGGTGGGGAGGTGATGGCAGTGGTAGGCACCAGGGAAGCAGATGGGGGTGAGGGGAGGGGTGGGAGACATGGCACAGAGGAGGGAAAGGGGAGAGGTGGATGCCAGGACATAGCAGGGGTGTGAAGTGATGGGTGGGCTCCAGGATGCAGAGGATGTTTGGGGGAGAGGGGAAGGTGCCAGTCGGGCAGGGGGAGAAGGGAGGGGCAAGTTTCAGCGGGGCAGAGATGGGTGGAGGGCAGGGGCACGTGCCAAGAAGGCAAAGTGGGAGGAGAGGGGCAGGGGCCCACGGGAGCAGAAAGGGAGAGAGAAGAAAGGGAGGGATGTTGGTGAGGGGTCAGAATAGATGCAGGGTCCAGGGTCCCTCACAGGGATGAGGGAAGGGTAAGGGAGGGGCAAGAGCCAGAGAGGGGTGAGGGAGAGGCAGGCCCCAGGGAATCTCTGTTGCTTTTGGGCCATGTGTGGTTGGTTTCTCGCTCAGAGCAGGTCGGTGCTGTTCCCACACACACTGGGGGTGCAGCTCTGCCCCAGGGGGAGCTGCTGGGACTCTCAATGCTGGCGGGCCCCATGTGTACCACCTTCCAGCCAGGAAAACCCCACAGCCAGCCTCTCCCCTCACCGGGCCAAGCCCGACCCCCACGGGGCAGTCGTCTGGGTTGGCCTCACTTGGGGGGCATTACAGTGGAAGATTCGGGGGGGGTATAAATGCGCACTAATGGGCTGTTGCTAATGAGGCCAGGGCAGAGGGGAGGGGAGGGGGCATTTCCCCACTTACTGCCCCCTCCATCTGGGAGAAGCTGCACCAGGTGCCAGTCCCAGTTCACACCCGCACAGCACATCTGCACTAGGGGTTTGCACCAGTGCAGCTACATCGGTGCAAGGAAACCCCGGCAGACACGGCCTGGGACACTGCTGTGCCAGGGGCCGTAACCCCTCCCGTCACTGGGGTTATGGATCAATAATTACAGGGTCACTGGAGCAGGGGAGCTGGACTCTGGGCTTCCAGGTGGGGGCCCGACCCACTGGGCTGCAGAGTCGTTCTCACTCCCACGCTCTGGCCCAGTGTCCATGGCAGTGTTTAGACACGGGGGGATGTCACTCGGATCCCAGCGCTTTGAGCCCTCATGGCATCACATGGGTGGATTGAACCTGGGGCTCCCAGCTGAGGACCCAGCCACTGGGCTAAAGGCTAGAGGGGAAGCAGCGGCACCTTTTTCTCTTAATTGAAACTAGTCAGCAAACTCAACGTGGATTCACAAATAGTTTCTGTTGACCCGAAATATAATTCTGCAGCAAATAAACTATTTGTCCAAAACATTTCACCCAGCTCCACTGCAAACCTGTCTGAGCAATTTAGGAGCCCCAATCCTAGTGACTTGCAGTGAGTGACTGTCAACATCCCCAGAAACGCACAGTGACAGGCAGGCCAGGCTTAGGACATCAGCTATGAAACACTCCAGAGCTGCTGTTAAATTTGCTCT